ACATACATACATACATACATACATACATACATACATACATGGACACCAAACTTGTAGATTATTAGTATGGGTTATATATAGTAGGGATATAATATACAATACATTCGTCGGTTTGTCTGTTTGTCTGTAACAATCTTACATAGCGCCCTCTGGAAATCGAAGTGGGAGCCAGGTTGGAATGAAGAAGGAACGAGCCGAGCTACCTTAGAACACGTGACTCGAGCTGGGCTCCGCCCGCTAGCGTGCGCGAGAAGTGTAATTCACCAGGAATATATGACTCCTGTTCTATTGGGCCTGAAGTGTCCCAATTTACAAGGGATACAAGCGGCAAAATGGCCACGGCAAAGGCACGCGACAGGTGTCAACTCCTCCCACTGGAGGCGTACGCGTAAAGAAACTTAAATTTGCAAGAGATGCAGGGGGCAATTTGGGAACACTAATATAAGATGACACGTGTAGACCCCGATCATTTGGGGCGGGGAGTGCGCGAGAATTGCTATTTTGGGCCTGCTTATCATGATTTTTGCGTAAAATTTCATCAATTAATACACTCGCCAATGATACCGTTGATTGCCATGCTTGCCAACCTCGACAGGTGCGAATAAATGAGTGAAGTGGGAATGAATTCCCGTTTCATCGTCGGTGAAGCGCAGGTACTCGACAATGGTGGGGAGGGGGGGGGGGGGGAAACAAGAAAGTGAACGCTCCCGGTCATCTTCACGGAAATTAATATCAGAAGGAGACGAGACGCGCACGGTATCGTGCGCAGACCAGCTGGTACATGGAATTTGGCAGAACGCTGCGATCTAAGTAGGTATATCAACTCATTGCTCCATTTTTATCTCTTCTTTGAACCAGCATAATTCCTCATCCTTTTTCCTTTTTACAACAAGTGTACCATTTCGATAAAAAAATAATATTAGAGTCAAAGTCCGTTTTTCGGCTTTCACCAGGTTACCAAGTTAGTGAAAGCCATTCGGAATATCAGAGAGCTGTACGACAAGGATGCTAAAAAAAGAGTTCAATGTCGACAGGCGCTATTCTATTTAGAAACATCGATCTTGAGAACTCAGCGGATAACGTTCAAACTCGGACGAAGAAGATCATTCGAGAAAATAAGGACAGATCGTGTCAAATAAACCAGTAGTGAAGTATCCAGAAAAAATGGCTAAGCAAAATGCAGACCGCTGGTGCCTTTTTGCAATGGAAGATAGGGATTGATTCAGCTGCCAGTTTGGCTTATGTTTCTCAAAATGTTCTTCTACTTCAGCAAGTTGGGAACACAATTTAAATAACTACTCGCCAAACAAAATATATGTCTGTGCTGAGCAGACCAACGATCTCGAGTGGTATAAGACAAGGTCCGAAAATAGATTCTTAACAAAGATAGCAGAGAAATTTCAAATCCTATAAGTAATTGGATAACGAAAAAGCAAAAAATACAACGATGGACCTGCATTCTTGACTTCTGTTCAACAAATTGAGCCCGCTACTCTAGGCAAGCGCTTCACAACTGTAAATGCCGCCCACTTCATGGAGTTCTTTGACCTGCTACTAATTTTGTCAATAGGTAGGGAAAAACATCATCATAACGTTGTTTGGCGAATTAAATGAATGTAAAAAATATAAAATGAAATAAAATGAAGTCTGAGGCCAGTCTTCACGTGAAGCTTAACTCAAAATTTCGTTTGCGAACTAATGCCAAAAATCTCATTTATAATCATAGGCTTATCCGGACTGAAATACTGTCAAGAAAGTTGTTGTACATTTCAGGGTTCACAAGTTTTGATTCGAGTTGGAGCAAACCTGTTCTATGAAGTAAACTTCAAAGGAAGTCAGAACATAAACTTTATGACATCCTCGTGGAGTTTGACCTACCAGACTCTATTTACAATGTGTTTGATGATGATAGAGCCACCCATGAATTTCACCAGAGCTTACTTTCCAGGCACTTCACAAAAAGTCAGGGAACGGAAAGTGTGCCCTATTCGTAGTGTACCTTGACCTTGTAGAACGCCAGCAAGTTCCTCTTCATTTTTTCGGAAAAGGCCTATTTGCCTGTTTCAAAATGATACAGCCACTAAGCAAATCAACTTATTCAGTTGCTAAATAATAACAAGGAAAGGAAGTTGCGCGAGTAATTTGGTCCCTATTCCTTCATCACTTCAAAAATACGACTGTCCAAGCAAAGGAAAGATGATTTCCTGATCAACTTGGTGCTAAGCATCGACTGTTGCTTTCCAGCTCACTGATACCCATGAATAGCTTCTTCCTTCATAAATCTTCCTTACCATGAAGCCCATACGTATCCCATTTGATTGGAGTCAAGGCTGTTAGCCGGGCAGGGCAAGGCCGATTTGGTACCAACTGAACTAGGTGCTCTGGGTGAAGTGAATCGATGCATTACGCTGCATGAGTACGAGGTTCTACTGCCGCTTCTGATGCCAGAAATGAGGAAAAGCAGAGCGCATTACGACTCGGTAACCGAAGAGTTGAGTTCCTTCGAAACAAAACATAAATGAAGATGTCAACAAGAAGAAGTTGCTGCCCACACCATGACTCTTCCTCCCTCATATTTCGACTTGAAAACTGAAGTTTATCCTTTCTCAGATCGTACCAGTGGAACCGACTTCCATCTGAGGCATCATAGTTAACGTTTTTCATAGGGAAAAAATTGGAGAACGAAAAATCAAGAAAAGGAAGAGTAAACGATAAGACATGGAAGGTACCTTACTCTAACCGCTCCGGTTTCAATTCCTGCATAGCGACCCGGTAATCGCGATGCCTTTCAGTCTAGAGGGTACTTTCTCAGACGATAAACTCGGACTTATTTGTAACGTTCCGAACAAAGATCCTCGAGATATTAAGCGTCAAAGAGAACTTCATTCCTGTACATGACGTAGTCGTACTCGACGCTTCGCTTGTCTTCTCTGACGAGGCACCATTCTGAGATATGACGTACAACGAGGTAGAGCAAAATCCAAACGAACAAACGGAGTGAAGAACGTCCCGTAATTCTTTTGGTCCCATACCACGCAGGATTCCTGTGGAAATTACCGACAACTCCGTTACATCAGCCCAAATCGCGAGCGATTCTACGATTTGACACCCTGTTCCTTTTCTGCGCCAATTTGGCCTTTCTCAAAATCGGATAGCATTTTCCGTTACCCATCACCTAAAACTGGAAAACACTACACAAATGAGCAATTGTGCAAGGTGAAAATGAAACGAAACGGGAAAATATGAGATGGCTGTATCATTTGGAAACATAGGAAAGTGACCTTCTCTGAAAAAAGAAGGGCAAAATTATCCATAATCTCGAGATGCAATCTGCTGCTGGCCTACAAGTTACGGTATGGCTTTTTTTACCAACTGTATTTTTGAGCCACGGTTTATCGAGAGAGGAGCTCTGAGATTCCCATTTGTAAGAATTTTGTGATCTCCAGGATATCACAAGGGACGATATCGGGTCGAAAAATGGTTTATATAGGGCGTAATGAGGGCCCCAAATCCGGCTTAACCGACGCACACACCCGAAGAACCAGAGCGCACGGCGTTGTAGAGGCTGTAGAACATGCGCCAGCAGCATGGTCTAGACCGCACGTGTTACAAACAAGCAGCCTACTGTAGCGGTTTTACACACATTTGAATCCGAATACCCCTTCCTTCAAACTTTGTCGTCACATTCTCGTTCGACCCCGATTCTACTACTTTTTGAAGCCTCAACTTAATTAACGGTTAGTTTGATTGTATTTTCGAGAGCTCTTCAGAAAGCCTTCCATTGAGCGAGTGATTAAGGATAGGATGTTAAATGGCTACAAAAAATCTAACAACCTCTATGTTCTTCCTTGAAACCGCGATGTGAAGTGCCGTGTTTCCATCATTATCTTGAGCGTCTATATCACAGCAGTAAGACAGCAGTGTGATCATCAAGCCAATGTCACCCGGTAAATAGTCGCGTTACTTTGTTAAGCAAGATATAAAAAAAACAAGTTATTAAATGCTTTGCCTCACTTTATGGGTGTAGATGTGCAGAGCTGTTTGTCCAGCATTATTTTTGGCATTCAAATCGATTTCTTTGCTCTTCAAAAGCATAAACCCCATCAAAGAGGTTTTGTACATTGCAACATGAACAGCCGTATTACCGGATGAGTCTCTTTCGGTGACGAGATCAGGAGACGTTTCGACTATCGCTCTGATTATGCTAGAAAATCACGGACCTTTAACTCCGCTTTATTATAATGTATATAGTCAGATTCCGCGAAAGAAGCATTCACAAGTATGTACAGTTGAGTTGAAAAAAAGTTCTGCAGTACACAGCTGATCATGTTTTTTTCCGGGAGGGGCCTTAAGTAACCCATGGAACTGTTTTGACGATAAGTAACTCACTCGGTATTCTTTCCTTTACTTTGCATTGCTTCAAAAAGTGGATTACGTCCATGTAATCTCATGCTCAATTCTGCACCAAAGTTGAGAAGAGTGGCGAAACAGCGAGGGTTTGCTGCTCGAATTGCTAACATAACCGGGACATAACCTTCATTGTTCGGCAGATTGATAAGGCTATGACAATCTTTGAATCCCCATAGAAGCTGAAATAACAACAACTGAAAAGGAAGGACGAGTTCTAGAAAGTAAAATTCGGACAACAGAAACAAAGGTAAAATATAGAGACGACAGGATTAATAGCAGCACAGAACCGAAAAAAAAATCCATAAAATGCAGGGAAGTGAATTAATGTCTAGGATGATACTATCAAAGCAAATTCCAACCTCGAGCATCTGAACACTGGCGAGGGACGCGTAATGAATGACATTGTTGCCACTCATGTCTTTTACCGTGACGTCTGTTCCCAACTCCAACATCCTTCGTACAATCGTCAGGCGATGCATTTCGATAGCCAAGTGCAACGGGTATTTCCCCTCTGGTTGAACCATCATCTTCATTATACTGTATGGAGATATGTTATATTATGTGAGATATGTTTAAAAATGTTAAAAAGTGAGCGTAAGTTTTCCAATAATATACTTCTAGGAATCCTTATCCTTACTATATGTAATCCACAAGTTTGGTGTGTCTGTTTGTTTGTATGTATGTATGTAAGTATGTATGTCTGTGTGTCACGCTACTCGGCTTCACCGGAGAAAACACCTTTAGAGGTCGGGACTAGTTTGGGATGGGTGAGGCATGAGACAGGATTAACAGAGCACATACGAGCTCTGTGGAGCTCCGCCCACTGGGGGCGGGGCAAGTGCCGGAATGGGCGGTGCCAAAAGCTGAATACCTTATTTCAGCCTCTAGAAAGTCGAGACGCCGGGAAAAAATGAGCAAAGGTGAGGAATGGGTCATTAAACCTGACGGAGGAGACCCACGTGCTGTGGGCGGGGCTTTCTCAAAATGAGTGGTTCTTTTCAGACGCATTCATAACTCGACTCAATTAAGCCGCAGAAGCGAGGAAAAAAAAGAAAAAGGGTGAGCAGGACCTCATGCGTGCCGGGCAAGAGTAAGCTTAGCGAAGCCCCACCCACGATGGGCGGGGCGTGCGTTGAGACGAAAACCACTTTCAAAAAATGAACGCAACCTTGCTTATAAACGTTCTAGAATGCGGGAAAAGAGTGGTAGAGGTAATGGTACAAATGTGGCCAAATCCTCGAAGTGGGCGGGGTTGGCACTAAAGTGGGCGGAGCTTAGATCAAAAATTCATAACTCTGTTCAGGAATGTTTTAGGATGCAGCAAAAAGGTGTTAAGGTGTAAAAGGACAAAAGTGGCCAAATCCTAGAAGTGGGCGGGGTTGGCACTAAAGTGGGCGGAGCTTAGATCAAAAATTTATAACTCTGTTCAGGAATGTTTTGGGATGGCAAAAAGGTGTTAAGGTGTAAAAGAACAAATGTCAATTAGAGAAGTGGGCGGGGTTATCATTAAAGTGGACGTTGAAACGAAAGTAACTTTTAAAAACGATCGACCTAGCCTGAAAAGCAGTCTCATTACAACTGATTATTGGCCCCCACCCATCACAAATATGAGATGAGAAAATACGCCAAAAACCCATTTCCCCT